AATCTGTGAAAATATCAGGTTCCTCTGGCTCCTCCTAGTGCTCTTAATATCCTAAACAAAAACAATCAGAGCCAATAAAGATATAAAGGTGCTTTTGGGTTGGTTGGAGTCTCATTCCCAGGCTCCCAGTGCATCTGTATTTGAGGCCCTGGGAATGAGAACTATCTAAGATCTGAGTACTTTAAGTGTATGTTGAATTAAATGCTGCATAATAAAACTTTATTATTATTTTTATTATTATTATTATTACAGATAGAGGCAGCTGCATTAGGCTAAAGTAGCACATTTTTTAATGATTTTATTGTATCTGCAATCAGAAAAGTTTTGAATATCGGATCTGATAATCAGCCAGACTAATAATTGGCCTTTCCATACTCTGTAGTTTCAGTTAGTCACTTGTTAGCAACCGCTTTTTTAAAGACACGTAAAAGCGTTCACAGGTGGGGTTATTTACTGATGAATTTTACATCGTACAGCAAAATGTGAAAATCAATTAAGCTTGTGTTAACCACAGACTTTACTGACTTTGTAGCGAGGGAACCAGTGGTGCTAACTCAGTTCTGGGTTTTAGAACTCATTCGTGCACTACTCTTTGCACATGGTCACCTTTGAAGCCCCACTAATTAATTTCTGGCCACTTGGGGGCAGTGGAACAAGCTGTAAATACAACATTGACATATTGTCACCTAATAAAGCTGTCATATGTTAACAAACACACAGTAACATTAGGATTCATTTGGAGCCATGTTTGTGTTCACCTGTTTAAAAAACAATGAGCTGAAAGACTAAAATGCTCTATAGAGCTGACCTGTCGAGTGATGTCAGTTGTTAATATGAAAAATATTGAGTAGTGCAGCTTTAACTGCAGCTGCAGGTCATAACCATATTTTAATAGCACTTTAAATTTTGTGGCATCAGCTTGGATTTTATGTGAAATTAAACAGTGAGAAGTTGTTGTTATTTTAGGAAAAATGTTGGTTTGGTTTGAAAAATTTGATTGTTGGAAAAGGCACAGATGTAAAAAAAAAAAAAGAAAAAACCAGAACAACGTAACATTTTTACTCTTCTCCATTGACGTAAGACACCACTATATGGTGTGATATTATGGCACAATTTCTGTTGAAAAATTGAAAAAAAGGACAATTACATTGTTTGACATTACTGCTGGCGATTGCCATAAATGTTTAAATTCTACATATAGTGACTTTAATATACTAACATACCAATGAGGTACAAGCTACCAATGGTCTTTAAAACATGCTTGTCTAACAATAGTAGCACTGACATGCCATTGATGTGTAAAAATGCTACAGATAGCATATTTAATGCACTTTATCAAACCACTGGATTTATTGTCTCTCACTTTCTCTGAGTGCTTTAGATATTTCAAAATGTCTTTCTCCATTTATATGTGCATAATCTTTTGTCAAAGTCTCTTCTTCTCTCATTTTATCCTTCACTCACAAGACCTGTCATCCTGAAATCCACTTAAAGCAGTTTCTTGTCAAAGGAAATCAGACAAAACCGACATATTGAAAAGTAATCAACACTCACCCACGATGCAGCCATCTGCCCTCTCTTCTTTGGTGCCACTTTTTATTGCCCTCTCTCATTTTCTCTCACTTTGTCTTGTTACTTTGCACTTGTGGGAATGTGTAACTGCCACTGAGCCAGATGTGGACTATGACTGTCCCTGTCCTCACATCTGTGTGGCGAAAAATACACATTCACCATAACTGGGCTTAGTTACATGATCGATACAAAACCGCTTCACTTTCACACACTTTCATATGTGTGGCTGTCTGTAAACACGCTCGTGCCAGTAAATTTGTATTTCATATGTGTCAAAGATGCAGCCATGTTTATCTCCACCCTCCATGTCACTTCATGACATGAGTAAGCGATGATTTGTAGAGGGACGCGTTGCATGTTTGACAGATTCAAGTAAATATAATGGATCCATATATCAGGAGCAGCCTGAAATGAGCAATATAAGGGCATGAGAAGGAAATAGCAAGCAAAAGAGGCCAGAAAAGAGGTAGCGCATGAGAAGAGGCAGATCTGCTGTGGTCAGGAGGATTGCTTATAGTCTTAGCCAACTTGCAGCATTTATGTCTAACTTAACCACCTCGGTCCCTTCGTTTAAGTCAATTAAATTATATTATAATTCAGTTCATCAAGACTAAAAGCAAGAAATGAAAGCATAAACAAAGATGATGGATGATGAAGTTGATGATGATAATAATGCAACTGCGATGTTGGTGATAGGGAGGTAAATGTGATACAGCGAGCTACTGTTTTAGTGTGTGCATGTAACGCTGTCTAGCTGATGCTTTTAATCACCACATCAGCAAACAGTGTAACTGCAACTGTGTTTAATAAATGAAGCGTCATGTCTATTTCAATGCGCGCACACACACACAGAGGCGCATGTGTTAATCTGAAGCGACATTGACTTTCACAGCCACTTTAAATGTCTTTATTATTTTAAAGCACTTTATGAGTTGCCCCTGGCGTGGGGGAGTACAGTATGAGATTCTACTTGAATCACAGCAACAAAAGCGGGTGCTAGACTAGTTTATGTCCCTGTGCCTCCTCCCTTTGTGCCATTTTCAGGATGCAGTGTGAGCACAGATGAAGAGTTGAAGGATAATTATGGTTTATAGCAACTTGCGCCAGAGATTTAGTATTGCACTTCCATAAAGTGGAGGAAGACAGAATGAAAAAGCAATAGTCAAAAGCGCAGTAACAGTGGCCAAAATTTCACTACAATTCCCATAATGTGACTCAATATGGTCTTTGGACATTTCAGTTTTTCTAATGTATTAAACGTGCATGTGTATTTTTCACTGTTTCACTATAAGCTTGTCTCTTTTACACTCCTCATTGAGTCACCTGTGAGACAGATTTTGGTTGCTTTGGTAAAGATAGTTTGTCTGGAAACTGTCCCCAACACTTCAGGAGCTGCTGCTGACGACAATGGCTGCCGAACGTACTGTAGGTCGGAGTTAGTGCGGATTAAACAGATGGGCGCTTTGGATAGAGATTCCTTGTCATTGTAGCAATTTCCCATGTAACCATACTGCAACATTTACATTATCATAACCTGTAAAAATGATGGCCAAAACTAAATAATACCAGTAAAAACAATCACTCTCTCCAAAATCATTTTGAATTAAACCATTCAAATGGCTCCTGGCATGACTATATGGAGAACACTACTGAGTGTACTCATTGGTATTCACTCTGGGTGCCTGAACCCACAGTGAGGACACTACAAACACATGTATTCAGACAACACATGCACACACAAATGAACATATAGGCTGCCATACGCGCCATCGCCATCATCAACACAGACACAAATGCACTATAGGCCTGAAGCCAGTTTCCATTGCCACATTTCCCCACATCTCTGGGGGGTTTTTGCATTGTCTCCTCTCTCTTTTTCTCTCTTGCAAGCTGATGCGTTTTAAAGACCTTTCAGTCTGCAGTAATGGGGGCGCACCACCAATCAATGAGGAGTCTATACACCATGGAAAAGAGCCACACAAGGAGTGAGAGAGAGGGAACAATTTTGCAACCTTAAGGTGTGTTAATGGTAAACACAGGTGTCTAACCCAGTTATGACCTTCCATCTAATCAGTATTTTGAATGCGGCTCATGTTTACTTTTCATGCATGACTAAAAAGCTGCTGATAAAACAATGTTGCTTACTTGAGCAGATTACAGAAATACAAGATGCCTCCCCCTCTTGCAAGAAGGTGTCAGTGAGGCAGTTAAATGCTCCGTGCAGGTCAGTAAAATGTGAAGACGCTTTCTTATCCTGATTCTTTAAAAAAAAAAGGAGTCTTTTCATTAGAAAACTCATAAATGGCACAATAAATTCACGTGTCTAAACTGGAGACAGAGGAAGATTACCTCCATTGCGCTACCAGCAAGAGGAGAGAAATCTCTCAGACACATCCATACACTTATCAGCTTCAAAATGACACAATGCTGGTACCAGGGGGACTTAAATATTAATTCCCAGCCTGGTGAATATAAAAATAAATCCTTTTGCTAATCGTGCCGGGAGATGCTCGACGGCGGTAAAAAGGTTTTGTGTAAATTACTAAAAGATTAGTTCCTTCGCTGGTTTATCTACAGGTCCAAACCGCAGAGGTGCATTCCTCAAGCACCTAAAATTCCTCTTTAACTTCCAGACAGAAATGTAAGGATTTACCTTGTGTGTGTGTGTGTGTGTGTGTGCATGTGTGCATGTACTGTAAATGTCCCCAGCAATTCCTTTTGAAATCCTGCGATTGTCTCTGGTGAAACAAGATAGTGGTGGCGCTTTGAAGGTGCAAAGCTGTGACAGGATGGTATTACCTGCGCGAGATATCGCAACGCAGGAAGTTTTGGCCAGTCGGACGTTTGTCACATGTGACGGGGAGACGCTGTTTTGCCATGGGATTAGAGCGCATTAGCCAAGGTGGTTGCCAGTCAAAACACACCCAGTTGTATTTACTTATTTATTTTTAATCTTTGGCAGGAAATAAACATTTATGGCAAAAAGTATTTAAGCTCCTTTCTCTGTCACGTAGCTACACCCCACGAACACTGATTATTGGCCCATTTAGTGGACATTTTTGCTTTGAACTTGGAGATGAAAAAAGTAGAGGCATATTTTGTATCGCACACTCAGCAAAAAATGTTAAAGCACCTTAGCAGATTACCCCCTGCTTAAGGCCTCCCTTGGATATGATAATATACAGAGGGGCCATTGAACAATGTGCTTAATATTGAAATAGCCTATTTGCCAGGATGAGACAGTTATAATATCCCAATAAAGAACAGGAATCCTATCACCCTCCACAACTGACCAGCATCAGCACTGTTCTGGGGAAAGAAGACGTGAAATTTCTAACTTTTGTGTCAAGATTTGCTCCCTGTTGCACATAAAGGTTTACAAATAGCTTTTTTTACGCTCCCTGCACTTGAGTATACAGGCCTCCTTGAGCTCTGTGCGTAAAACCTCAGGACTGGCTTCTCGCATGAGTCAGAGCTGATCAATTAAAAGCTTATTGATCTCTTATAGAGGCGGTGGGAGAGATAGCGGTGGGGACGTGGGAATTACTTCGCCACATAAAGCCTTTCCCAATCCCACTTCCTCAACGTTAAATACTCACTAGGAATTAATAGAAGATCCAATTACGTCAGCGAGGAGGCTCCGTGCATGGTCTTCATGGTTTATCTTACTGTGCTGACAGGTGGTACTTTAGAAATGCATCGTCAAGGCAATGTGGTCAGCACTGAATGGATACAGGTGGATTTTAAGATACAGCAGGTCTCAATGAAAGTTTTTTTCAGTTGAAGGTTAGAAAACAGCACCTTATCAAAGCATGTTCTCTGTGAAATCTGTACGTTTTTTTTCTGTAGAATTCACCATGAAAGTGATATATTTCCTCACATAGGCATGCATTGCTTACTGTTACTCAATATCATATAGATTACAGTGATTTGTGCACAGAGATGGAGCGTGCACACTTCTTATAGATGCCTCTTTTAGATACGGATAAAGAGCTTAGGCCTACACACCTTTCTTTCAACCTCTTCCTCCCTTGATTTTTCTTCTTTGTCACTTTCTTACCCATCTCAAGCACAAACAGAAACTCACACAGATGTACACACATGCACACGCACACACACCCCTGGAGCTTAATTTGCAATAGAAGACTACTTCATTTGAATGTCTTTGATGTAGCGTGGCTTTGCTCAAATGAAGTATCTGATCCCAATCCCCTGGACAGATCCACGTGGGCGTATCGGTGTAACCAACCACCACTAGCATCCCCATCCTACTACCAGCTCCTTTTCTTTTGTTCCTCACCTACAATTCATATGCCATCCCTCTCCATACCCATCACCCATCTATCCTTCAGTAATTTAATTCATTTACAGTTTTAACAAGCATGCTTACGTGCCTTGCCATCCGGGTAATTTATGGAGATGGGGTCTCGGGCTCGGGCCCCTGGTGGCCACACAGGCTTGACATGGTAAGCTTATAGTCTTTGGCCTGCATAGCTTGAGGAAGAGGGCAAATGTAGAAAGATGGGCCTTGTGGAGAACCTTAAAAGGGCCAAACCAGTATCTAGACCATTTAGCATGTTGTTATATATATTATATATGAATTATTTTGCCATCCCAGTCAGCCAGTGTTTTTTCATTCCAACGTGTCTTCACACATATTTATCTTTTATAGAAACAGGGATGTAAAAAATGACTGCAGTTTTACTTGGCTCAGCTATTTCTTGACGTAGTTTTGAACTTTGGTGAGACCTACACTAGCTGTCTCCATTCCTAATGCTAAGGTAGGCCAATCACCTCCCAGTTGTAGCTCCATACTAAATTAGTTTTGTTGCACAGTTACTAACAAAAGCAATGTGATTGCTAATGGGTAGTTTAAGGGATTATCATTTGAAACAGTTACTGATCTCACAGTAACACCCTTGCTTTGACATTTCGGGGCTCGGCTTGTTTGTCACCGTCTCTCTGCATTGAGTGGAGATAGTTTTCTGGAACATGCTAGCCTGGTGCAGGTGCACACATAAATTGCATGCACCGATTTGTAAATTAATGTAATTAATTTTTCAGGGAGTCATGTGAGTAACTTGTAGAAGAGCTCCGGTTCCATTTCCGAGTGTATAATCAAGCCTATAATGTACACATCTAGTTCTTGGAGAGAAAGCAAGCAAGCGCATTTCCCATAATGCTGAACTACTCCTTTAATAATTTTGTACACTGAATGACTGATTGAGTTTGGTTCAGACTTGTCTGATATAGACATGTGCCTCCAAAACCACAGCAAAATCCAGCTGCAGCCTAATAAGGGGATTAGAGCAACCCAAATCCCAGGTTTGTCATTGACTGAGAACAAAAAGGAGAATAGAAAAGGGGAGCTGAAAATGTGCAGATTAAACAAACAAATGTGCTGGTATTTTGTAGGTGCTTGAGGTGCCTGCATTGCTGGAGTGGCATAGAGTGAGAGTAAATATACACATGCTCACACAGCCAGTCTCAGCACCATCTTGTGTTTTATTGGGGCTAATCCTGTGCGCACACCCTGACAGGCTTACAAATGCCCCCGTAGACTCCATCAGCACCGACGAACACAGAGACCTTGCTGAAGTGCTCAATTCAGAGCATGAGCATGCTGCAAAATGTGTTAAAATGACCAACATGTGCAAACAAGCTGGCAGCCGGCAGCCCCAGAAGTACTAATTATGATGATGAGGGAGTGGGCAAAAACTGATGAAACTGCAAAACAATATTAATACTCTGCTGTTAAATCGTTTGTTAGCCTAGTGCAGATGAATTATTGTAATTTCAGTTACCACAGTAAGGCTGTAAACACAAAATCACACAAATTTGAAATAAGTGGTCAGTCTTTCAAATCCTACTAAACACATAAGAGTCGCATGCTGCCATTTTGTATTAAAGGCCTTAAGAACTTATTCGTTTTAGGAAATACAATTACTTGCTTTCTTGCCAAGAATGAGATGATAAGATCAATACCACTCTCGTGTATGTAAGGAAACAATGCTACCGCCAGTTAGCTTAGCTTAGCAAAAAAAAAAAGACTAAAAACAGTTGGACAGTTAGCCTTGCTCTGTCCTCTAAAGCTAACTAATTATTATGTTATATCTTGTTTCTAACCATACAAAAACTGAAGTTTAAAAACAACAATTATATTCATTTAAAATTCCTAAAAATTACTTTGTTTTCTGCTAGACTATTTCTAAGCTAACTGTGCTAACTCTAGCTACACAGTGTTAATGATCTTCTCATATAAATCTCGGCAAGAAGGAAAATATATTTTCCAACTATTCCTTTAAATTGTCAGTTTTAATAGATCTTCTGAATTCCTATTAAGCTTATAATGTAAATAAAGACTTTTCTTGGAGGTTCAAACTTTTGATTAACTCTTAAATAATAACTAACTTGAGATATAAAACATGCTGTACATGTGAATGTGGCACAAAAAAAGGACAAAATATCTCAAAGGAGAGATATTCTTGAGTAGATCCGTCTTGGGCCTCAATCAAACGCAAACATTTCAGAGCCCCTGTGTGATTTCCACCTCAACCGTTGTCTGGAAATGAGAAAATCTCACCTCAAGTTTGCAAGTTCTGCCACAACCTTCTTGACCTTCAAGACTGTACACAAGGCACCCCTCTCTGAAGTGTTCATTCAGTAGGTTTGTGTTTGAAGTGTGGAGGGCGACATTCGTTGAGGCTAAACTATGGAAAAGAGGGTCAGCATCAAGCAAGCCTTGAAAGGAAGCGACTGGCTGAAGTGTCTTATCATAAACACTCCTTCTGTGCCTTGATTATTCCTCGGGGCTGCTGATATTGAACCTGTGCTTGGACTTGAAATCGAACAAGATTTACAGTAACATTGACTTAACATATCTCCTTTCTTTAAATCAAGTGTGGAAATTGTTGAATCTCTGAAGAGGAAACTAGATTCACACTGACTGCAAACAGAAAGCAATGTCACCATAGCAGCCATTTTATGCTCTTTAATTTGTTTATTCACACACCTGATAGAGAAAAGCCGCCCTCTGGCTCTCTATTCGTTAGAGGAAGGGATTTCTGGAGTTTAGTTTTGATGTTGTCTGGCCTTAGTTTGCTTGTTTACCTCTAAGGACAAAGGGGAGGCTGATAATGTGGCAGCAGAGTCATGGCCGCTGGCCCTTTTTGATGAGGAGAAAGGTCTGTTTGACTAATTACCCTGGTGGTCAGACCACTTGTTTTTCCAATGCCACATTTCTATGTCTTCTCTCTCTCTCACTCAGGTTATTTTTCTCCTCGGTTCCTGGGCATAAGCGCTGAGCCATGACATCTGACGCTGATATTTGCATTTGAATTAGCACTCCGAATCACTACGTATTGATTACCTGCAATTACCTTTCTTTTCTTGTTTGTTTGAGAGTATTTTTAGTCCTTTTGTGGAGTCACATCCTGGCTGTTTTGCCTTTCTCTACTTTTTCTAAGTCTTCTTGGAATTCAGAGTTTGGGCTGGTCAGATTTAGTCCAAACTGCAGTTCACCTTGACCACAGGTCAGAGAGAAGTTGAGTAATGCACAAACCATTCTTTGACATGTAATCCATAATCTGCAAAGTGGATCAAATAAGTTGTAAATGCACCAATCAGAGGGGAGTTATTGATAGCTATTGCATTGCTACGGTGGAGGGAGAGAACAAAATACTGCGTTTGTATGGGAATAGTGTGATTATTTGTGTTGAAGACTGTGCACATACGAAGCACTCAAATGTATTTTAACAATAAGAGATAATGATCTGATGTTTTATATAAATCCTCACCTTTACATGAATAACACCATGAAAAGTGGACCCTCATGCAAGAACATTTATTCATTTTTACCCTAAATCTCTCTTACTTGTTCCTTCGAGGCTTGTTTGTATGAATGTTCATCCGCCAAACTCTCTTAAAGGTCCAGTGTGTAACATTTAGGATCCATTAGCAAAAATGGAATATAATATTTATAGGTATGTTTTCATTAGTGTATAATCAGCTAAATATTGGAATTGTTGTGTTTTCGTGACCTTAAAATGAGCCACTGTTTCTACAGCAGCTAAGAACAGACAAACCAAACACTGGCTGTGGATCGGGCCTTTCAAGTTTTCATGAGTTTTGTGGCTACAAGTTTCTCCTATACACATCCCACTCTCATTCACAGGTTGCCAGATACAGACGCCAACGGTGTTAAGAAATGCCACTAAATCATACATACTGGTCCTTTAACTTGTTGTAAAAACCTTGTTTTAACCCTGAAATCTGACTGTTAACATAACTGACATCCCCAAATTGCTATATAAGGCTACCTGTTCTGTTGTGTTTGCAAAGTTTGAACTCAGTAGTAGTTGTATTACAGTACCTCATTCTTCTTTTCAAGATACAATTGATGAATGCAACAAGCTCGCTTAAGCACTTGCCTGTACCGCTTTTGGATGAATTTGTTGGTGTGCATGAGGTCAGTCATGTGCACGCAAAATAATTGGGAAAGAAACAGAAAAGTGTTTTTGGTTTTCCGGAGGACAAAGATGGCCTAAAAATGCCTATACTGTGCAATACTGTATTTCACACGCACAAAATACAACCATAGCACCTTGAAAAGGCCATATCACATGACATTGAAGCTATTCTCTACAACAGACGACTGCATTATTATGCTCCAAATTGAAATGACTGTTGCTACTCTCTGGGCACGCAAACCCATCCTGGCCATAGCATGGTCATTTTCAGGAGTTGGGTTCCATCTTGTCTCCTGATGAAGAGCTTTGTATGGACCACCTGCGCTCAGGCTCTGGACAAGCAAAACTCTGATTACAGGGTGGATGGAGCACGTATGCAGCTAGGCAAGCGGCACCATGCCGGGCGTAAGTGGCACTTTAACACGCGACGCATCCTGGGGGTCTGGCTGTCCATCTAGACTGCAGGCACGATCATGATGCAAGAGATTGGATTGTTGAAGGACACAGCGAGGCAAACAAACCAGAGAGACTTAAGCACACGGTGGTGAACAGGAAAGAGATTAAATGCTTCTAATGATGATAAAATCGAGACAGTTTTTTCTCTCTGTCTTTTTAAGTGTTTCTCTTTGAAACATGGACGTGATTAAGCTTTAATTTCTGACTAAAGCGATGTAGGGACTGCTTGTCTTTGGATGATTATATGTGTGTTTATGTGTGTTGGGACAGATGGTGTCTGTGGGGGTGGTGAGTGATAAAGTGTGTATCAACCCAGTAAAGATAGTATTAGCTGGGAGAGCTGCAGGTGGCTCATCATGATGTTTGCCTGCTAAACTGCTGACTTGTGTCCCTGGGTTAAAAGAGACAATAGTTATCTACTGGTGAGTGGGAGGTTGTTTTTTTCTCTCTCGGTGTCTCTCACCCTTCTCTCTCTCTATTGAAGAGAGAACTCTAAAGATCCAAAAGAACTGGTCTGTTCATTTGTTTTAGAGACATGAAGCTACACTGTGTATTGATTTGACATAAAAAGTGGACTTTCAACTGACCTGAGTGTAAGTAAATTATGAAAAAACCATTACAATAGCTGGCTAAAAGAGTGAAAAAGCACCTCATTGGGAAGCATGCGTTCCTCCATTATTCAAAACACTAATCATGTTTGAAGATACCTTGTGAACAAAATTAATGGAAATTATCTCTTTTTTCTCCACTCAAGTTAGCTAGAGAGCAAATATAGGGCTTTCAAACATAAATTACCTGGAGGTTGTTTGCTCCAAGGGGGGCTGCTTGAATGCTGGGACGAAGAAACAGTGTTTTTAAATAAATTAAAATGTTCAGAGTAGACTTTGCTATTTGTTGCAGCTTTCTGAATTTAAAATAAAAAAGCTGAATTCTGCAGAGAGCTGATGTGAAAACAAATGTTCTAGGTTCAAACACCAATTGATGTTTGTAAATCTTTATAACAAAAGATGCAGCTATTGTCATGGAGCCTTTCTCAACAGCATGCTATAGTGCTCATTTCATATCTAGATAAGGATGATAATTTTTTCAGGCAATCTTATGTCATTTTTTATTAGATATTTTTAGCTGAATTTAACACTTCTCATAAGCCTTAGACCACTAAAATGTCCATAGATGAGTGGAGGGGCCATGGTAAGCTGTCTGTAATAAGAGCAGGACAGAGAGAAGTTAATGTTGTAGCAGTTTTTAAACAGCAGAATTAGACCTAAAAAGTAGGGAAAATTACCTTAGAAGAGAGCGCTGCTGATATTTACAGATATGACTAAAAATATTTGTGCTTTTAATGGGAGACGTCGTTTTTTGAATCAATGATACTTTGTAGGCAAAGTAATCATTGTTAAATTAATTAATTAACAGCAAGTGCGATAGAGAATGATTTGTTGTAGAAACCCCACAAGCTTCATTTTTATCAGAAAGCCTGGTGAAAGACATTTTGAATGAAACATTGCATTGAGTTACAGAAGCGGAACAGAAGCTAGGAGGGATATGATGCTACCATGACTTTGGCTCTGTATGGAGCATCATATTGCTTTGCTATAAATGATAACCCTAAAACCAAAGAATGTGGGGGGAAAACAACTAAATGGGAAAAATCTAAACAATAATCTGTGGACAGGTTGTAACTATACATTCTAAACATGTGAAGGGCTGTGTGAAATTGTCTTGCAGGCCAAATCTGGTGCCTGGGAAATGGTGTGAGA